AGACATATGGTAAATGACAGATCTTGTTTATGCACTATTTTTTAACCGCGATAATTCGGTCGAAATTTAAAGGTCAGCTGTCGATTGCGTCCCCAAAGTACCAAGGCTCTTGTACTTCTCCAACCCAAATCATGTGCTTGCTAACTCTGTCCCTTCATTCCTCGAATGCTCCGAATAAAAGTTCTCAAAAAAGGAACCCGGGAAATGCGCGAATAGCCACAGAAGCCAGGCCTTTCCAAACAACTTGGAGTGAGGCTTAAACTTAATGGTAAACATGAGAAGCTAGTAAATACGTCAGCAGCTAAGACTAAACTGACTGTCAGTGGAAAAGGCAGTTCAGCACTATGGGAAACGGTTTTAGGGACAACTTACCTTGACAAGTGCCAATGGAAGCATAGACACCCAATCGCAACCCTACACTCTTTACGGGTTCTAGGCTAGTTTGGTTAGGCGAAATGTTGGTAGCATTGACAAATTTCGAGGCATCATTAGACCAGTCAGCCAACCAGATGTTGCTTCCAAGCCAGGCAATTTGGGTGAGGAAGAGGAAGAGGACGCCACCAAGGAAAAGGCCCAAACTCATGCTTCGAATATACATCCAGAATATTGCCAACTTCACCTACGGGGAGTCGATAGGTGAGTGCTATTCAACTATCAAAAACTAGTCTAAAAAATTAAATTTTAACTCCTGACAAAAACTTTGAACCATGACTGTGAACGAAAAGTTCAAACCGAAGAATAATCCCTTCTTTATGGCTAAAGCCAATGAAATTTGTAACAAATGGTGAAAAGTAAATTACGAAGAAAGCATTTTAGAAGTAAATTTACCCTTCCAGTTGCACTGGTCTCCAAGTTTTCTTGCTGCTTACCATTGGCCTCCTCTCCTTCCACGATCACCGTTGCTTTGTACCCCTCATCAGTCTTGGTGTTGGATTCTTGTGCCCCCTAAAACGGGAACGAGATAGACTCAGGAACCCTTCAAATTAACTGCAATCTAGTACGGAGGTCAAGGTGCAAGAATTCGAATAGAAAACTCACTTTGATCGAGCCAGATCGACTTCGAGTTCGATTCGAGTTCCCTCCCGAATCCGAAGACTCGGCCTCCATTAACGCCACTACAAAGGGGAAAGAACGACATTGGAAGTGACTTCTTAAGAGTAAAACCAATTTTAAAAAACAATAAAAATAGGTAGCTTGTTTGAAAGAAAGATAGGAGTTGCATTCGATTAAAAATCCTAAGACAAAAAAAAACAACTGTGCCCGTGGAGAAGGACGAGGGTCATTGAACAAGGCATTGATATGACA